TTGGTGAGCTCTTGATCTGGAAAGCAGCAAAGGGAATATCCTGGTCACCTTCTTGCCCTAGGTCAGCCCTCAATTGACAAACCAATCCCAGTGGAATAATTTTTCTCTGTTTGGGGATGTCTGTCTTAAGAAAAAAAAAAGTTCTTACTTTGCTAGCAGAGTCTACAGACGCCACAGGTTAAGTGTTTCCTTCTCCCTAGACTATTTTCTTTGGTGCCATTTCTCTGGGCTTGTGTCCCTACACACAAGCTGTGAATAGGTCAGGTTTAGGGTTTGTCCTTCAGACGTCTTCCTTTGGATCCCAACAATCTTCCAACAGCACAATCTGTGGTCCAGCTCAAGCCATTCTGTGTGTCCAGCCATCCTGTTCCCACAGCACTGCCTTCAGCTAAGAACGTTGACAGAGAAATTGCACAATAAAAGGAAAAAGAAAAAAGTGCCCGGGATGTAAAATGGATTCCCCAGCATAAAACAAGCACTCTCTCTGGAGCGAGCGGGGAGCAACTTACCTGAGACCTAGCCTCTGCTCCATCCCAACCCCACAACCTTCTTAGAGTACACACTCTTCACTGCCTTGGCCTGTCTAAATCACTGTCATCTTTCAGGACTTCCCACAGTCCATTTTCTCTAGGAAGGCCTTACCTATGCTGACCTCTCTGCACCCCACTTCAGAGATTCCCAACTGCATGACCCAGTCCCATGCTGCTCTCCAATTCATTTCACTTCTGTAGCTTTTGTCTCCCTAACTAGACCACGCATTGTTGAGGGAGGGGACCCCATCATCTCTTCTTTTGGTGACCTCTAAAACATAAAGAATACAGAGTGGTACAAATGGGAGACGCTGGATAAAAACCACTTCAATGAATTCTGTGAATTTCTCNTTTTTTTTTTTTTTTTGTGGAAAGCAAAGGAAACTGATATTTATGGAGCGCACGGGCTAGGTGCGTTTCATCAACAATCTTATCTGCTCCTCACTTAAATTATGCAGTGGTTTTGGTCCCAATTTTGTAGAACAGGGGTTCACAACTTTAGCCTGTAGCACACTCACCTGGAGGCCTATCAAATCAAGGTTTTTGAGCCTGTGATCCTATGTCTTTGGAGGACTGACACCTATAGGTTGGTTTCTTAAACCTAACCACACACTTTCCCTCTAAAATGCACTGTGTCCACATTCACTATAGCCAGCAAATTTTGAGTCAGCATCCTAAGCCAAATGGCTATTTACCTGGGAGCTCATGTGACCATGACCGTCCCAGGCCTATAGCTAACAGAAAGGGGGAGGTGAAAATAAGAAGGCAGGGATTTGCACAGATGCTGCATAAAAGGCAGCTGCCCCTCAAACAGCCACCTTGGCAAGGTACAAACTGTACTCCAGTGAGGTGGCCACGGTGCTAAGTGTTTTGGGAGGTCTCTTAAGAATTAGTTTCAGAGCCACACAAGAAAAGCAGTTGTAACACTTCATAGAACACGCTTCATTTTAAATCCCAAAAAACATTACCCCATTTCCCCACCCCCTCTAGTCACCTGACTTAGCTGTGGATGGAATTTGGTTGTTTGAAAGAATAAAATGTGCCCTCACAGATAAGATCTTGCCACAATGGAAGGTTTTCAAAAGAATGGTCTTTGGCTCTGACGGCAATTCGAAAGGAGTGGCAAAAATGTTTTAGAAGAGGGCGGTGTTCTGGTGACCAACTTTCTGGGGGATATTCCAGTGTCTTTCCAAAGGCAGTAGGGATTAATAGGGGAATCTATTATTCAGAGCAGGAAAAGGCATCAAAATTAGCCAGTCAAAAAAGAAGAAATCAAATTAGCAAATTCAGGAGGAACTAGGCAGATCATACAGAGCCAGGCAAAGGGAAGAAAGCATCAATGAGGAAGATGGTCTCTGCCCTGAAACAGACCACAGCCCAGCTTGGAGATAAGACTAATACTTCAGACTAGTGTATCAAGTGTCCAAAGAGAGGGGATGCAAAGAGGAAGTGAGGGCTGGAGTGGCTAAAACAGGAATGGATGTTTTCACTCACCCCTTCTCTGAAGGAGGAATCCTGAAAAATGTCTCATACCTCAACCTCCCGGCCTCCCCTCCTCTGGGGCTGAGCCCCTGGCTCCCTGACTCACTCTTGATGGCCTGTGCCCCTGGACAGAGGGCCTGGATTGCATTCAGAGCTGACAGTAATGTCTGGGGCCTACCCAACATGGCCCTCTAATAGTCAATTCTGCTTGGGGCCCACTGAAGATGCTTATCTGGTGGCCTTCTCTGCTCCAGGCAGGCTCGGAAAAGAGAGCAACAGATCCAATTACAGAGCAGCCCTATAGGTACAGTCCATCTGGGGCTCCAGATAACCCAGTTCCTTACATAATCGGAGGACGTGTGCAGTCCCCAGCCCAGCTGGGGAAAGCCATGCATGTACAGTACAAGAGGAACAGTGACAAACTTGTCCCTATGCTTAGCTTCACCAAGCCCAAGCCTTAGCAGCGTTCTCTTTATTCTACATATTAGTGAGTAATTGCACTTTCCATTTGTATCACTCATTACAAAGCACTTTATAAGTAAATCTGTGACTCTTAGCCAGCAGGTTAGAAACAACATATAGTATGATTCCCATTTTAGAGATGAGGAAAACTGAGGCTCAGAAAGGTAATTGGAATGTGTGGAGTTGGAACAAAACCCTTGAGCTCTGACCTTCTCAAGGACAGAGAGCCCACTGCCAGTCAAAATGAGGCATGACACACAATTGGAAATAGACCTTCATTACACGTTACCATCTCATAACCTAGTTTATCTTAACAAATCATTTCCTTTTTAAAAATGTTTTGGTGGAAATAAGGGTAACCCGTATTTAGTGTAGGCAACTTTGAACATACAGAAAGGTCTAAAGAAAGGAAACTGAAATCTCATTGGATTTATGGCTTTTTAATTAACAGTTGATCACATTTTAAAGAATTCTTTAAACATATTTGTAACAGCCAATGATATCAGATTGTACGGCTGGATCATCAACAAATCTTGACAATTGTTCAGATGTAGTTTCTCGTTTCTAGCTGTTATAAATAACACTATGACATCTATTTTTGCATCAGGTGTTGCTTTTTCTTTTTTTTATATAATAAAAGATGACACATATCCAGCTTGCTGCCAGCACCCCATAGCTTCCTGACAGCGATCCCCTGGGAAAGTTGAGGAGATGGGTTTGGCAACATCAGCACCTTCAGGGCCACGGCCACCATTACTGAACGTGGAGCCCCAGAGGAGATGATGCAGACAGAGGTATCAGGCAGAAGGAAAGCAGGCTGTGCACACCGCCTCAGCAACTTTGCCTGTCCAGTCATTGGCTCCCTTAGGCTTCCTCTTTCTCTCATGCCATATCCAAGAGAGAAGACCAGCTCTACTGAAATTGGACAACCCAGTTCTATGAAGATGGCCACTCTTGTTGGTCAGCAGGACCTCATCCCCCAATGTAAAAAAGTGTTCTTTCCACCTACCCATATCTCACCATATCCGGTGCACTGGGGGAGAGGACTCGGTGGCATCTGCACCCAGGAAAAGGGGAGGACAGCAAGCAGCTACAGCAAGCATTTGCCTGGCCCTCCATTGTTCTTTCTGACCTCGAGGCATGTTACTGCCTAAGCCCTACACTGTGCAGACTCCCGCTGAGGGGCTACCTGACCCCAGCAAGCTGAGAGACTGCTGCTGCTACTGTAGTTCGGAGAGAACCA